AAGCAAAATGTTGTCTAAGACCTGCAGGAAGACTGAAAAAAGAGGCTGATTCAGCTGGGGGAGGGGGATGCACTTTATCTTTTCCCTTCCTCCTTCACAACAGGAACTCCAGGACTGGGGACTATGGAATCAGGTTAGATTATTTACTTGTGGATGAGTTCAGTTCAGTCGCTCAGTCGTGTCCGACTCTTTGAGACCCCATGAATTGCAGCATGCCAGGCCTCCCTGTCTATCACCAACTCCCGGAGTTTACTCAAACTCATGTCCATTGAGTTGGTGATGCCATCCAGCCATCTCACCCTCTATCATCCCCTTCTCCTCCTGCCCCCAATCCCTCCCAGCATCAGGGTCTTTTCCAATGAGTCAACTCTTCACATGAGGTGGCCAAAGTACTGGAGTTTCAGCTTCAGCATCAGTCCTTCCAATGAACACCCAGGACTGATCTCCTTTAGGATGGACTGGTTGAGTTTCCTTGCAGTCCAGAGAGACATAAATTTCTTATTATTTAAATCACTGTTACTTTGGATTTTCTGTTATAATGTATCTGAACCTAACTGACTCACTGCTTGAAACATATTCAAAGATTAAGGAGAACCCATATTTGACTTTACAGGTACAGCTTTGTGACTCATCAGGGAAAGACACTACTGTATGTAGCGGAACTTACGGAACCTACATAAAAGGAAGGTTTCGAGGAACCTACATAAAGGGAAGGTTTCATCTGAATTAACCTCTGTTTTATCTAGACAGAGGAACCTGACCAACTTTCATTGATTCAAATCCTTAACTCAGGACTTCCCTGGTGGTCCAGTGGTTAGACTCCACTACAAGAGGCTAGATCTATCTATCTGGATCTATCTAACCAGAGGCTAGATCCCACATGCTGCAGTTGAGTTCAAATGCTGAGACTAAAGATCCTGCATGCAGCAACTAAGACCCAGTGCAGTTAGATGAATAAATAAATGAAGACCTCCCTGGAGGCCCAGTAGCTAAGACTCTTTGCTCCCATTGTAGGGGGCCTCGGTTTGATCCCTGGTAAGGGAACTAGATCCCACACACCACAACTAAAGATCCCACATGTTACAGTTTAGACCTAGCACCGTCAAAATAAATAAATAAAGTTTTAAAAAATAATTAAAAAAAAAAAAGAATTCTTAATTCTTCCAGGCACTGAGTGAAGCATAAAAATGCTCACCTGATATATGTACTTGAGTATCTCTCAGGCACCTAACGAGTCTGAAGTTGAAACTGATTTTGCCCATCCCAGTTACCACCACCACATGAACTCCTATCTCTGGTTTCCTTTGCAGTCGATGTTCAGTAGTGTTCATAGCCGTCCACCTAACTTATCATGCTAGGAGCTTGGGGCCTTCTCTGTCACTTTCTTCCTCATTTCTATATCCGGGCTGCTGTCGAGTCCCAGTGTGGTGTGTGCGAAGTCGTTTCAGTCGTGTCCGACTCTTTGCAAGGACTGTAGCCTGCCAGGCTCCTCTGTCCATGGGATTCTCCAGGCAAGGATACTGGATTGGGGTGCCATGCCCTCCTCCAGGGGATCTTCCTGACCCCCGAGTCTCTATGTCTGCTGCATTGGCAGGCAGGTCTTTACCACAAGCGCCACCTGGGAAGCCCTATCAGGTCTCAGAATCTCCCTCTAAAATACATTTTGATCTACGACTCTCTGTCTCCACTGCCACTTGGGGGCAGCTCTACCGTTTCTTGCCCAGATAACTCCAAAAGCCTTCCCTCTGGATTCCCACTCCCCACGCAGCACCTGGAGAGGAGACCCAAACCAGGTCACTTTACCACCATACTGAAAACTTCATAGGCGCCCCACAGCAGTAGGGTGCAATCCCGAATCCTACCGGTGATGAAAACAATCAGTACACGATCTACAGTAGGAAATGAAGAGTTTTATTTGAGCCAAACTGAGGACTATAGCCCAGAAGACAGCGTCTCAGATAGTTCTGGGGAACTGCTCCAAAGAAGCATGAGGTTCAGCACAGTTTTATGTCTTGTCAGAACAAAGAACATCAAATAAGTCAGGGATACATTCTCTCAAGGTCTCAAGAAAAACGAAACAAACCAGATCAGCACGAACTCAGTGAGTCAGTACAGCCTTGGCCTGGGAAGGGAGTCTTATCATCGAAGGAGTACCAGCGCTGGCGTCCCAGGAAGGGAGGCGGTGAATCTTGATTTTTTTTTTTTTTTTGGCTGTGCCGCCCAGGCATGTTGGATCTTAGTTTGTCGACCAGGAATCATCCCCTGCATCCTGGAGTTGGAAGAACAGTCTTAACCGCTGGACCGCCAGAGGAGTCTCCTGAATCTTTATTTTTAACATGGATATTCTTCACTTCTGGTTAATGCACCCTTTTCTTTAAAAATTCAAGCAGATGTACAATGTATGTTTGATAGGCCACAAGCAGGCTGTTTTAGCATAAAATTTGAGTTAATTCATGTAAAAGCCAGTATGACTTCCCCATACCTCAGTATGTGGAAATTTCATCACTGTATATGGCCTATGAGACTTTGCCAGGTCTGACCCTGCTGACCCCCCAGCACCCAGCATTGTCTTGAGCTAGTTTCTCTGACTTACTGGGCTTGATGCCTGATCTTCTCTTCCAGTCTCCAGAATGTACCAGGCTCCCATCCCAGGGGCTTGCACAGGCTGCTTTCCTGCGTGGATTCCTCTGCTCCCACCCACTATTTTATGGCCAACCCCTCCTGACGGTTCTCTTCACTGTTTAATGACTCCTTCAATAAGACCTTGACTCCCGATTTATATCCGGACACTTCATACTGAATAATATTACACGTGGTGTTCTGTGGCTGGCTTCTTTCACTTAGCATAGTGTTTTCAAGGCTCATCCTGTTGTAGCATGCCTCAGTACTTCACTCCTTTTTATCGTAGATGAATTATTCCACTGTATGTGCATGCGTGCTAAGTCACTTCAGTCGAGTCTGACTCTTTACAACCCCATGGACCATAGCCCGCGAGGCTCCTCTGTTGATGGGCTTCTCCATCAACAATACTGGAGTGGATCTTCCCAACCTAGGGATCGAAACTGTGTCTCTTGGCCTCCTGCGTTGGGAACAGAATTCTTTTCCACTAGCACCACCTGGAAAGCCCATTTCATTATACGTCAAAGTGTATGTGAAAATGTTAATCATTTGGTCCAACTCTTTGCAATGCTATGGACTGCAGCCCACCAGGCTCCTCTGTCCATGGAATTTTCCAGGCGAGTATACTGGAGTGGGTAGCTATTCCCTTCTCCAGGGGATCTTCCCCACTCAGGGATGGAACCCAGGTCTCCTGCCTTGCAGGCAGATTCTTTACCATCTGAGCCACCAGGGAAGCCCATTCCATTGTATAGATACAGATTTTGTTTATCCACTCGTCAGCTGGTGGACATTTGGGCTGAGCCCACTTTTTGCCTATTATGAACACTGTTACCAAGAACAAGCATTTGCGTGGACATATGTTTTCATTTCTCTTGGTTATATGCCGAGGGAGTGGAGTTGCTGACTCAAATGTTAACTGGGAGGTGTCAGCAGCCCCTTTTTATGAGGAAAGGTTTAGGATTTTGTCCAGAGGATCCGGTGCCTGTCACTGTTTGGCTGTTTGGTTAACAGCCAACTGTTTACATCCCTCCTATTCTGGTCTTTCCCTGTTTTATTTGCCTCTTTTCTTTTCTGTAGATTCCAGCTCCCCTGCTGATTGTAGCCAGCACCAGGCTTTTCAAGGGGTAAAAGTTATTTGTAAAACATTTTGAACTCTCTGGAGGATGGACATTAAAGTAATAATGTTTATCTGTTTAATCTGTGGGCTAGCCACTTGCAGGCTGTTTTGTAACAAAAACAGCTTATTGAGTAGGTGGCTTTTTAAACTAGTTCCTGAGAGTAACACTCCTACAGCAAACTGCTCAGAGTCTCAATTACCCAGCCAGCAATCTGTACCTTTTAAAGAACCACTTTGAAGTCCCTTGGTGATATTAACATCACAAGTGAACCTATATATGTAAACATATGTTGTTCCTGAGCTTGTAAAAATGTATACAGAGTTCCTGGTGTGTGCCTGGCAGATAATAATTGCTTAATAAACTGATGTTGCTGTTGTTTAGTCGTTAAGTTGTGTCTGACTCTTGGTGACCTGCCGGCTCCTCTGTCTATGGGATTTTCCAGGCAAGAATACTGGAGGGGGTTGCCATTTCCTTCTTCAGGGGCTCTCCCCCACCCAGGGATCGAACCTGGGTTTCCTGCATTGCAGGCGGATTCTGTACCAACTGAGCTACCAGGGAAAGTGAAGTCGCTCAGTCGTGTCCTACTCTTTGCGACCCCATGGACTGTAGCCAACCAGGCTTCTCAGCCCATGGGATTTTCCAGGCAAGAGTACTGGAGTGGATTGCCATTCCTTTCTCCAGGGGATCTTCCTGACCCAGGGATCGAACCTGGGTCTCCCTCATTATAGGCAGACGCCTTACCCTCTGAGCCACCAAGGAAGCCCCTAATAAACTGTTAGCTGTTATTATTAAGTTACTCTAATAAACAATCGGTTTCTTTGAGGTAAGGATTTCAATCATTCAGAATGTCTTATTAACATTTTGAGGACACATTGAAAAGTACACCCTTTCAGGGTGCACTGACAAATTCTTATTTGATTGTCACGCCCACCTGGTGAAAACCACTGAGAACCTGGCAATTGTTCTCAGGTGCTTATTTTTGGCATAATAAATATCGACTCAACCTACCCTGGCATATTTAATCTGCCGATTACAGCAGAAACGACTCTGCCGTGANGGGGCCGCGGCGCCCGAGCTTCGGCGGGGGCTGCCGGGATCCCGGCGCTGTGCTCTCGCTCGCCGCCGCCGTGCTGCTGCGTGCGGCCCGGCTCGCCTCCGCGGGGCATGTCCGCGCTGCTCTCGCCGCACGCCCGGGGCTCCTAGCTTCTCCGGCGCTTGCTACGCTCGCGGCCCCTCACCTCGCCCCGGCGCCCGGCTCGTGCTGTGCGCGCGGACCGCCGCCGTCATGGGGCTGCAGCCCCTGGAGTTCAGCGACTGCTACCTCGACAGCCCGTGGTTCCGGGAGAGGATCCGTGCCCACGAAGCGGAGCTGGAGAGGACCAACAAGTTCATCAAAGAGCTCATCAAGGACGGCAAGAACCTCATCGCCGCGACCAAAAGTAAGCGGGGCCCCGGGGCGCGGCCAGCAGGAGCCTCTGCCGGAGGGACACCGACCGGCCCGTGCCTGGGGCCGGCAGCCGGAGGATCAGGGGATTCATCCGGCACCTCGAGGCCCCCGGGTCGTTCCTCCTCGGCTCCCCGGGCAGCCGGGGGCGAGTCCCTTTCCCGCCCCTGCCCCTGCGCGGCGGTCCGAGCCGGGAGCCATGCGCGTAAGCTTGCCGCCCGCCAGACCCGCCGCTCCGGCCGGGCGCCCTCGTGCCTGCGTTCTCCGCCGGACCCGCCGGCGGGCAGCTTCTCTGGCCCCCTAGAGCTGCTCTGTCTCTTCTGAAACAGACCTCAATTTCACGGGTCTTGTCTCGTGATCCTTCAGAAGAACTTGCCTGAGGATTCTTTGCAAACCTGCTGAGTTGGTCAGAAGTCCCTTAAGCCGTACCCTTTCTGTGTCTTTTTCGGATCCCCTGCGACAGTCTCGTCCCAGGCGCCTTGCTATGCTAAACCCGAAAGTCCACCTGGCGTTGTGCAAATTCCTTCCCTCCTCCTGCGCCGAGGAGGGTTCAAAGATTGGGGCTTGTGAGGCTGAGCAGACAGCCTGCCCTCTAGCCCCAGCAAGCCCTGCCTGCAAATAGGGAATTCCACCCCGGCCAAGCTTGGTGCCTTCCAACCCTGTTCGTCTCCATCTTTTGAGCAATTCAGAAGTGGCCACAGGAAAATAAGAGATGTATCCGCTCTTTCTAGGAGGGAGGTGGCCTGAAATGCATGCTGAGACATTGAGTTGGTGATGCAGCTGGAAACAGGAAAAAGTTAGCTTGAGTGAGAGGCCCGGCAGCCTGAGCACACATGTGATCTATACCCCATCCTGAGGATGCCAGCTGAGTGTTTGCTTCTCCCTCCTAAAAAGACATACGCATGCAGCAGACTGGGGAAAATACCCCATGTCCCCGCGCCCCCTTCACCCCCCCACCATTCCCCATTTTGCATTAAGGAAGATGGAAACGTACTGACTGAATTGTCTCAGGTACCCAGCCCAGAGCTTAGAACAGTGCAAATTCAATGAATGAATGAGTTGAAAGAAATATGATTTCATGGGAAGAATTCAGTGAGTGAGCCATCTCTAATTTTGGAAGCAAGTCACTCAACTTCTCTGGGTGATGACCAGGGTTCGTTTAGGTTCTGTGACCTCTGTGGTGTTGCAAAATGATGTTTGGGAATCAGTTTGGGACATGTGGCTGGGGGGCTATTGGGTTGGTGGCTCTCCAGTGTCTTTGCATTGAGTGTGTATGTGTTGGGATGGAGGTGGGGAGGGACTGTAAATATGTAAGTGTAAACGGAGAGAGGAGGAGGATAAGTTAGGACACCTGAGTGTAATTCGCTTCACTGTTAGGGCCTGGCTGCAGGAAAATTAGGCAGGTCACTTTTGTGTTCTGTTTCTCTTGCTCTACTTCTTAGAGGCATCAGTAAGATTCTGCAGTGTTCAGCAATGACTTGATTAGGTAATTAGAAATTATGGTCGAGGTCAATCATTGGCTTAATCAGTTGAGCTTTTCTAGAACATCTGAGAGTCAAGAGGTCGAGGAGAGACCTGAGACTGGGAGGAGCTACGGAAAGGGGAACAGCTCAGACTGATTGTGTTTTCTGACATTTTAAGCTTTGTTTTGCAAAAATGGCATTTTGTGCATTTTCAGATTTGTGCATTTAAGGGGTTTCTGCTTTTAATTGCCCTGTGTGTTGCCTCCTGCATTCACTGAATACTTCTTAGGTTTATGTAAACTTTGTTTTTGCTTTTTTTTTTTTTTAAATGTCTTGGTCGTTTGTGAATGCGTCATCTCTGAAAATTATGAAAACACCCCTATTACCAATACATTTCCAAATACAATAACTGACGACCAAATTGTTACTTCTGTGAAGAATGTATTGAGGCTTTGAATAATCCACAGATTATTAAAGAAGTTGGAGATGAGTTCTGTAGGGCCTGAAATTTTACTCCTGAGTTGAGTTATGTAGCCAATCAACAAATACTTCGCATCTGCAGTTTAATATTGGGCTTGAGACACAAAGAGGAAACATGATGGCCCTTGTCCTTGAGGTTACTGTCCTGTGGTTAAATTCAGTTCAGTCTAGGAAGCACATCTGAACACCTGTATGCATAGTGCTTAGTTTTTGAAGAAACAAATGCTGCACAGACACACAGCTTAAAAGATTCAGAAGGTTTAGGTGACAGGTTTTCTCACTTGGACAGAAACAAGAGCATGTTGCAAGTTGGAGTGGAAGTTTGGGAACTCTTTGGTGTTTTGGGAAAGGAGTAGAACCTGGTCAGATTGGAAACAGCTGGGAAGAAGCCAGACCCCTGTGTCTGAGTAGGATGAGGAGATCAGTTTGGCCGGAATGGCAATTTCATTCGATTTCATTCGAGTTTCATTCGTGAGATTGGTGGAAAGGTCAGTTTCAGATGATTGAAGCCATAAAAGTGGGCTTGGAATGTGGGCTTTATCCTGTGGCGAGTCACTGGGGGTTTTGCAGCAGAAGCCTGACATAATGGGAAAGAGCTGCTTTAGAGGGACGGTTTGGTATCTGTCTACGTATGGGGGGTAATTTTGGAGATAGCAGTGGGGGTGGGGAGGAGCAGAAGAGAGCCTGGGATCGTTGATTTATGTGATGGATTTGGAGATCTTTCATTGAGTTCAATGGACTCTTTGTTTAGATGGCTTTTTTAGCCCTTTTCCTTTCACTCCTTTCTAGAATAATCAGTGTCTTCTTTCAATACCGTTTAAACTTTTGTAAGCCTTTCCTGTGATGTCTGTGTAGTTTCAGATGCTTATGTTTCCTAGCGATGTGTATTTACCAGAAATGGTAATAAGCCTTGCATGCTTTTGCCATAAAGTTTATAATTAGGCATTCTTGAGAGAATATGTTCTGTGCTAGAGGAAGCCATGTATGTTTTCAACAGATAGTCCTTACAGTTCTTAAGCACTTATATAGCTGAGTAGAAGGCTCTTAGGAAAATCAGATTGTCTGGGCAGGGTGTGTGCGTGTGTAAGTAATGTGGAGGGGCCCTCATTAGCCTTCTCTCATCACAGACCTGGGGAATCGCGTTAATGGTGGCCAGAACTAGAACTCGAGTCTTTCAACTCTTGGTTTTGGTACTTCTTTTGGGCCTTGATATTTTAATGATTTTTACTTTGGTTTTCTTAGGAACATAAAAATTCTCCTTTGCTGTCTTCGTGTTTCTTGTTCCAGAGACACGGTTCACGTGGTAATTCCTTTTGGGAAAGTTTCTCAGCTTGCTATTGCATGGAAGCATAGGGAGATTTGGAGGACTTAAAAGAATTTCATTTAGTAAACTTGAGCCTTAGTCTCATTTGTAAAACGGGGCTGTTGCCTATAGCCTTGAGCTTGAGCTTGAACCACATGTGCGAAAGTGTTTTGAAAACACAAGGGTGAAGCGGTTGTGTAGGTACTATTGTTTGCCCAGCTAACGTTTTTTTCCCTCTGACAATCCAAATTTTGTTCAGATGTCTACGCTGTTTCCCAGATGACTTATAGAAAGGTGATTAGGGATAATTCTGTTTAGCCTGACTCAGTGGTTCTCAATCCTAATCCTGGTTGACCATTAGGATCACCTGGGGAGCAATCAGGGTTGAGAAATGCTGAACTCTTAACACCTCAGCGTGGTACACCTGTTTTCTGGGCTGGTAATTAGATGAATGTGTGATTCGTATCTCACTTGTGACCAGGGAGACCTGATAGGAAGTCTGCTGCAGACACTGGAACAGGTTTTCTTTTTTGAGAGAGGAGACGCACATGAAGGGTTCTCGCCCTCTGTGATGTTTGTCTGTGTTGCCTGGAGCTGTCCCCGCCGTCTCGGGAGGGCGAGTAGAACCAGGATAAGGACCGCTGGAACAGAGTGGTCACTGAGTCTGCAGTTCTGATGCTGTGATGAGAGCCACACATGGTTCTGTGCCTGACGCCTGCCTCTGGCTCCCTGTCTCTTTAGTCGCTAAGTCGTGTCCGACTCTTGCGACCCCGTGGACTGTAGCCCACCAGGCGTCTCTGTCCCTGAGATTCTCCAGGCAAGAATACTGGAGTGGGTTGCCATTTCCTTCTCCCGGGATCTTCCCGACCCAGGGATCAAACCTGGGTCTCTTGCACTGCAGGCAGAGTCTTTACCGACTAAGCTACAAGGGAAGCCCAACAAAATGACAAGCCAGCTTCAGTTGGGTTTTCTGCGACTTAACACTCTAACTTTTTTGTTTTTTGGTTTTCTTTGGCCGCTCCTCATGGCTTGTGGGCTTCCGTGGTAGCTCAGCTGGTAAAGAATCTGCCTGCAGTGCAGGAGATCCCAGTTCGATTCCTGGGTCAGGAAGATCCTCTGGAGGAGGGTATGGCAACCCAGTCCAGTGTTCTTGCCTGGAGACTCCCCATGGACCGAGGAGCCTGGCGGGCTACAGTCCGTGGGGTTGCAAAGAATCGGATACGATTGAGTGACTAAGCACAGCAGAGTACATGTCTTGCAGGATTTTAGTTCCCCAACCAGGGATTGAACCTGGATCCTAACTAAGCATTGAAAGCGTGGACTCCTAACTGCTGGACCACCAGGGAATTTCCAACATCCTGATTTTGATGAAGTGGGATAACTGTAAATTTTGGGCTGATGCTCTGATTAAGTGGAATTGAGAGAGGCCTAGAAGTAAAATGCTATTTAAAAAGTTAATAAATTAAATATAATTTTACTCTGAACAGAGGATACTCACCTGTGTTCTTTGCCCCGAAGGAACTACTGTGGATCCCCTACAGTTCAGGGCATCACTTGGGGGTAAGTCTTAAACTCTCACTTGGCGTTTTACTAGTGGACTGGTCTCTAGTGCTAGGGTAGACTTGCCATGAAAAGAATTCCAATCGGTCTTGATCTGGAATGTGGACCCAAACAGGCTTTAAAGGCTTTCAGTGCTTTGCTCGCTGCAGAGGTGGTTCTTGTCTCCATTTAGAGTGGTAGTCTGGTGGT